CTGCAGTGTGTAGCATGCTCTCCTCTCATTGGTCAGTCAATGAAACCCTCGCTGATTGGTTGTACGCTAAGTTGGACTCATATGTCGCGTTGCAAGCTCGCGTGTGCACGTCTACGTGTACGAGCGCGAAATTTCACATGCACTATTTTCGCCGGTCGCTTAGCTGGAGGAGGGCGAGCGATTGTCGCCTCACCGCACAGGCTCCATAGGAAATGAATGGAGAGCGAGCGACGTCGCCTCCCGTGTGTCGAGCCCTTTATTCTTCCTCTGCTACCTTACATTTTATTTTGATTTGTAAATACTGTATATATTTTTGTTTTAGTTTATTTTTTATTATTGTATATATTTTTTAATGAAATTAATACATTTTTTGAATTGAATTGAAACATGAAAAGTTAATTAAAACTGGCCCTTTGAGGGCCACCGAAAGGCTCATGTAGCCCTCAGTGAAAATGAGTTCAACAACACTAGTCTACACAAATCTGACAAATCTGTTGAAGTTTGTATACACTACGCCTCTAGATGGCGAGATTATAAAATGACATATCAAAATACAGAGAAAGAACATGTTTAGCTTAACTAAAGATAATTTTTTATGTCCATTACAATTTCCTCTCAGTTACAATTTCAGCACACAATCAAAATTTAGTAGAAACAAGACTTTAAACTGCTAGGTCGGAGAGTGTTTTTTTTTTTTTTAATTCTTTAGAAATGGAGACGACACCTGAGTTGTTTATAACTTTTTCTGTGACAAGCCAATTTATAGGTGAAGAGTAGAACTCATATAAAAGTTGTCCTTAACTTTCTTTAATGTTGATTTTACCCATTCACATCATGTTAAAAAACCTTGCCAATGTATTATTTGTAAAGACCAACCCAGAACCAGATTTATGTCTAATTTGCTATTAAATTTTGTCTATTTGATCAATTTGTTAGAATTACATTATGTACACACCAAAAAGAATCTTCCTGTAATTTTTTTTTAATTCCAGCTTCAACTTAGACATCTTTAAAATGTTTATAAGTTGGCATAAGTTGTCTAGTGTGACAGGGCCTTAAGCTTGTGAAACCAAGGCTTGCATCAGGCAGAGTTTTGTAAATGTCCTGCAAGAATGTAACATTGTTCCAATAAAACATATCCCCCTACCCCCGAAATGGTGCCACTTTCAAAAATGTTATTTCGTAATCGCTCAGGTTACTTGGGAATGTATTGTGTCTTTCCACAACTTACTGTATTTATTCATGTTTAATACTAGAAATTTAACCTTAAAATCATCCATAAAGTGGGGGGGGATAGTATTATACACACATTATTGATAATTAAATTTTTATGCTTCGTAAGCTCAAAAAATGATGATCGTATTATACTTGAGATCATATTATACACAAATAAATACAGTAAATCACATGAGAGCTTTATAGACAAGAGGACTGTCCTGAAAGTACCCACTCACAAAAAGGCAGAAGTCACTCATCGTTACCCAGAACAACTTTGTACTGATTTGCTGTGATCGATCCATCTAAGAGGACCAATGATTTCAAACAGCGCTAGCAAAGTGTCTCCAACTGAGCCACTGGCTCCCCATCACAGCAGGGGGTTGGTGTTTTTATACCGCCACCCACCCTTTTTTCTATCTCTCATCTGTGCATCAAATAAATCAGGCAGTGTGAAATCAATGCCCCAAATGTCTTTTTTATTTCCAGTTTACCTTTGACGTCAGCAGAAAAACGAGCCGAGTGTCTGGAGACAAACAGCTTGAGCTCCTGGTCCAGGTTGCAGTCAAGGAGGTTGGTGTCCCATGAACGAATCCCTGCAACACACAAACCACACACACATTACAACATATATCTTTGGCTTAAATAATTAATTAATACATACACTAGACTGTCCATTAACAAGAGGTGCATTAGAGGTCACCACATCTGTCCTGTTGAGCTTCTGCTTCCGGCTGATAAGAGCCAGCACGTCTAGACTTGTTACTGATTTGGCATAGCCAAAGAAATCTATGGTAGGAAATATCCATAGTGCCATTTGTGGTTTGCTGCAAACCAGATGCACTGATGGCCGTGCTGAGTCACAGTACATCCATAATTACTCAATGTGATGACTTATAGATGGCCAAGTTAAAAAATATATATATACTTTTGAGGGACAAAAGAAACACACGAGGCAAACTGTATTATTAGATTCCAAAATAATGATAAATTATGCTGGTAACTTTGACAGAGGCTGAGTTTTTATATGTCCAAAAACAGGACAGATGTACGTATGTGGGTGGAGAACAAGAAGACAAAATAGTTTGCTTCTCAACTTTAACTAAAACAGTGATCTAAGCTTTAAAACGGCGATGAAATTCTCCATTTATGCGAGCTGAGCCGACACAAATCACTATGCTGCCCCATCCTTCTGGACTCCACATGGTCCATCCGAATGTTGCGCGATGAAAATTGCATCATGGCCCAGGTCAAACTTTTAAATACCCTTGGCATGTGAAATTTGTGATTTTATTTTTGTGTGTGTGTGTGATCGGTCAGAAGTTTGTGGGCATCAATGGCAGAATTTTGCTTCAGTTACTCCTCTTCCAGAAGCTGACTGTTTCAAGCAGTCAAATAACCAAAAACTCATGGATGGAGAGAATACAGACCCGTATGGCAGTGGGAGTGATTTCCCTGGAGCTTTGCTTTGTGTGTCTCGTTGGACTATAAAATGTGTATGCAAAAACAAACCTCCTGCCATCATGTGACCACGCACCTACTGGTCGACCATGCTGGGCCCTTTGGGGTTTCAGGTCTAATCTAACCCCTGTCCACACGGAACAGTATTTTGAGATTACGCAAAAAAATTAAATGAGTCGTTTCACCCCCATGACCCCACAGAAACAACGTTTTAGGAGACACGTAATGGTGTTTTCTTCAAAATGGTTCAGAAGAAAAAAAAAATCTTGGCACAACAGCCCTGCGTTTTTGTGCAGACAGCCAAACTGAAAGCTTGTAATGATGTCATAGCAGTACTGCTAATCTAAGCGTTGATGTGACTGGGTTCCTTTTTTTTGTACATGTATTTATATTATGCACCTAATATGAATGCACATGCTCTATGCCTTGTTTCCTGTTTTTGGTGTATTTTCATAACATTATCATAGCACCACCAAAAGGTCCTGCATAGTTTGTACAGCATTTGTGGTTCTTTTGCGTGAAGACAATTTTTTTAATTATATTGATCTTACAAGGATATTTTTATGAATGAAGCATTTTTTTTAACTGTGTTCCTGGGCAAATTATAGACTATTGTTATTTCCAATGTGAGGAACTAAGGCCTGTAGGGCCTGATTTACTAGAGATGCCTGGTTTTCTGGAACCAGATTTGGAACAATATAGAGGAGGGGCTTGTAGTCCTGCCTGCACCCCCACATGCAATAATTTTGTCACATAAATATTTCAACATACCATAGGCCTAAGGTAGGAAGTATGCAAATCAACAAGCGTTAACACCAAAAATAACCCCAAACCTTAGGTATATTAGCTTTATTATGTTTTTGTTTTTACAAATGCGAAGAGGACAGGACTTAAAACTAAAGCCCAAACATTTGACAGATGTTCACTCAAACCACATCCTTTTTCCTGTCCAAAATGTGAACAAGTAAACACAGCTGTTAATGACTAAGCTTTAGAAAAGGCAAAAGTGAGTACATCTTTCAGTCTTTGAGTGTAAAAAGTACTTCTTTTCAGATCCACACAGTTGCTGCGCCATATTCTCTCTCAGTGTTTCTCCTCCCCAGCCTGCAGGCCTGTAAAACCGCCCTGCTCCAGCCTGTAGTTAGGCCCTTGTGGCTTTCCGTAGGGACCGCAGTGCGGACCGGGCCACGCCCACAAGCCGGTGTGGAGATGAGAGAGCTGGATGCGGGATGATGATGATGATGGAGGCGGGTTTATTTATTTATCATCCCTTAACCAAAATATGTAACATATTAATAGAATGAGTTGGTACTCGGCCCTTTAAAGCATATTTTATAGCTGTGCAACACAAAGAGACACCCCACGCCCCGAACACAGACGCACCCACCCTCCCAGTCTCATCCAGACTGAGGAGTGTGGAACAAAAGCCTGACGCAACTGATTCAAACACAAACTTGATGACTGCAGCTGGGTGGTCTTGATGCGCTGCGTTATTGGCGCACATCAGATGCTGGATCACAGCTGCAACCAGCAGCAGTCTGTAACAACTGATCAGCTCTGCGTCATTCACCGTGAAGCAAACAGGTGCCGCTTTAATGTCGCGCGAGCAAAACGATGAAATGCTCTAAATATGAACTTCAAGGCTTCAGATTGAGTTCAGCTCTCAGTGGCCTGCACACCCACAAACACACACAAAGCTCCACCTTTACCTTTTTCTATATCCGCAATGGCACATCTGAGGTGGTCCTCGGTGATGATCTCTCCGATGACCACCAGCAGGTAGAATTTGCCGTCGTTGAAGCGCTGCGAGGGGCCGGAGGAGGTCGGGGACGCTCCGGTGTTGCTGTGGCCGCCTAAAGGCTGCGCATCTGGGGCTTCTACCAGCGTGGCCATCCTCTCTCCGGTTCTCCGCCTGTCTGTCTCCTTGTCCCGGACACACACAGCAGCAGCAGCCTCCCTCCCCCCTGTCAGTCTCAGCTGAAAGCACCGGAGGTCTCCAGACATGCGGGAGGAGTGTCGTTAGGAGTGGCCCGAGCCTTTTATACCGGCAGACATCGTGTCATGCTCAGTGACCGAGCAGGGATCAGGGCAGGGAGGGATTGTTTTAAATTATTTATTTATTTATTTATTTTTTTTACAAACTCACTGCACTGCTGATGTCATCCACAACGAATCAAACGCCTCCGGAAGTCAGGAGATGTGATGCTTTTCTCCCTCCTGGCTTCATTTTAACAGAACAAGCTATATTTAAAAATAGTTTTAAAATGTGTTTTTCCCCTCTAAAACAAAGAAACAGTCCCGGAACATTTGCTAAATTTTTGATATTTCAAAATGGCTTTATTGTAAGGGTCTATTCATTTTAAAGTACATTAAACCCTAAACTGAAACCCTGAACATTGATGGTCTAACTGATGCTGCCATAATGCATTGTGGGAAATGCAGTTTGCGACTTTGCAATGTTGTTTTTGGTGTTTGTTTAATTATTATTTCTAGGGTTTTTCCAATACCAGTTGTTCTCGAACCAAGTATGAGTACAATTATGCGTACTCGCCAATAGAGTACAGATACTGAGTACTGAGTTAGAACCCAAACATTACACAATGAGTTTAAAAACACATTTCTTTTATTTAGAACAAGGTGTCTCTCCTTCCTTATAGACTGCCTGTCTGGATCACATCAAACACACAACGTGATACATAACATTGAAAAATGTTAAAATAAAAAAAGAAACAAATACCAACATTTTTTCAACCATGAATAAATACCCTATACAAGGAAGTAACAAACTTTTCATTTAAAATGTAAACAGTAACAAATACAATGGAGTTTTGATGCCAGTATCGATGCTTGATACTTGATATCGATAACCATAGATCCATCAATACCAATGTATCACATGTATCCTGAGTATTGACAAATTTTGTATGACTACAAGTAGTTGATGTGGATGACATCAGCAGTGCAGTGAGTTTGTAAAAAAAAATCCCTACTTGTAAAATGCTGGTGTTGAGAGACCACTAATTCTTTCTAACAAGTCCTTGTTCTTATCTAAGTTCATAAATGTAAATTTATTATGTTTAGAAGTGCTCTGGATGCAAGAAATTTGTTCTAGTTTTAGCTTTAAAAAATAATTTTTAGCAAAACTACGTAACCCAAGAAACCCCTCACAGATTAGAGGCAAAGTACAGTTGGAGTCCACATCAATACTGCAGATTTACACAGAGATGTTGCCATAAGCTGCACAGAACTAGGCTTTTTTAAAGAGTAGTCTGAAGAGCGTTCTGGTCAAATGAACCTAAAATCAAACGTTTTAATCATAAACATCATCTTGTCGCATCTTGCACTTCTCATCCTGCTGAGAATATCTCCATAGTGAAGCATGATAGTGGCAGCATCTTTTTATGGGGATGTTATAGCCGACAGGTGCAAACGTTAAGAAAAAGATGCCAGTTCAAACGGAAAGTGCTATGATAATGCACAGCATTACCTTTTTTTAACAGCATACTTTTTTTCTACGCATTTTGGTCATTGAAACATTGTGTTTTTGAACTTGCATCATTTTTTTTAACATGCTGTGCATTCGCAACTGTTGGCCACCAAAGGGTGTTCTTATTAGGGCTGGGTAATATATCAATAACAATATAACAATAACAATGTACTTAATATACATAACAACATAATATACACATAAATCAATACAAATAGAAAATATGTCCAATAGGATGTTGAATTCACTGAACTCTGATCCAGAACTGCACAGTGTTCTGGGGGATGTAGACAGAAGAAAGGCTTTAGCTACTCGACTTGTCACGGCCCAGCTAAGCAAGGCTGGTGGCATCAATTAACTCATTCAGCTAGCAACAACCTGTTGAGTAACATGTGCAATGACAGTTTGTTTTTTCGCCACCTTGCCTCATTGCTGTTAAAAAAAGTGGAGTGAAAAGAGAAAACGAGTGCAAAACCTTGAGAGGAATTTTTGGATGAAAGAGGAAAGCTCACGTCACCAGTTTGGCAGTATTAATCAACCTTTGTTCTCATAGGTAAAGCAACAAAATGCAAAAACATGTCTTACTGTTTACCTGTTTGGTCTCTTACAACAAATGAAATCTTAGAACCCATAGTTAGGCTCTACAACAGGGCCT